ATTGTTTGTAATTAGGAGAAGTGGGCTGCTAGCCTTATTTGTTCTTACTAAGTGGGCTGCTAGCCTATGTACAAAAAATTATTTTAAAAACAGAAAGAAAAATATTTTGAACAAATATCACTGTCATTATATTAAATTATTAAAAATATATTTTAGTATTAAAAATTAGTTTAATTATTTTAAAATATTTTGATTTTATTGTTAAATTTTACTATAAAATTATGTCATGTGACAATATAAAAATATTTACTGTGTTTAGTTAATGTCAAACACTGTTTAAATTTAAATATTATTTTAAAAAACGAAAGGAAAATATAAAAATATATTGAGCATTTAGAAAATATAATTTTAAACATTATATTGTAAGAAAAGCATTTTTGGTATACAAAGAGAAAAAAATCATTAAAAGAAGTGTAATTCATCTGGGTAGTTTCTTTTACATGAATACGGTTGATTTTTCTTTTGTATTAGATTTCAAACAAAATTTCAAGGTGAGCAGTTTATATTAAAAAAATACTTAATGTATAAATGGTGTACAATTTTATATACCAAAAGTGAATTAAATATTAACACATCATCAAATTTTAAAATTAAACTCGTTTAAATTCATCAAATAGCATCAGTGGCTAGAGATCTTAAGTTAAAGCGGTTGTCTATGGGTGTATTAATGATTAAAAACATTTTGAACATATATTATTTGTAATCACCATAGATTATTCAAAAAAATTAAACTCGTTTAAATTAATTTGTGGTGATTTTCATTTATTAATCGAACATAAAATTATATAATGTTAATACATAAAAAAACCCTATATTTAAAAGATGTTTTGGCTTTGGAATAGAAAAAGAGATTGAGAATCGAAATCTTGATTACGACTGTATGAACCAATTCAATTAAAGGTGTCTTAAACTTGCAACTACCTTTTTCAGTATAGTTGCAGATAATCGGATCAATATTGTTTACTTTTAAGGATTTGCTTTCTGATTTGCCACGGAATCATGTTTACTAGGCAGAGAGCAAAGCATAATAATTTTTGAACTATTTCTGCTCAACAATCAAGAACATGGAGCTCTCGTTAATTCAACGTATTTAATCCAGCTTGGTGAAACGTACTAACTTGAGAAGTTTCATTCGTTAATCTCAGAGGTTAGAATAAAACTTTGCATAAAGAAAGGAATAAAGAAAAGTAAAAGATATTGCCATGATATTCCCGGCCCCATCATTGGGTCATATTGCAGGAAAAATTACCCCATTCTGTCAATACAGCAACTACATTACTAAAACTCGAAATTTAACTCAGTTAATTCGACTGTGTTTGAAATAAAAACTAAGCACTGTTTTCAGAAATTCATGGCACTAATGAAAGTGTTAGTGTCAGAAGAACACCGATAAAGTGGCAGATGAGAATCACTGCAGATTGCAGAAGCTGAAAGTTGAGTGCATGTTTGGGAATGGGGTACAAGAGGGATATGTATCCATCCCTATATCTAATTTTTTTATGTTAATTGTTTATTTTATAAATGGTGTCGATTTAAAATTTTATTTGTACCGATTTTATACGAAAAAAATTCTGTTAATAATATATTTCATGTCCTATTTCTTCTGCCTAAATTCTGGCAGGTGGGCACTTTATACTATTTGGTAGAAATAGAGAATTGCAGAAATAGAAACACATACAGAAAGGTCATTTTTATACTATGTCTTTGGGCATCGAAATTAAGACAACTAACTTAATATATTGTGTCGCGAACAATTCTGAATATTAATAAATTATCATAAAAAGATATTTAATTATATAAGATCATCGATTTTTCATGATCAGAAGGTGTATTGTGATGAATGCAATATGAAAAGCCAAGTTATTATAACGATAGACAAAATCATGTCATAAAAATAGAAGAATAGCCGTGTCATAAAAGTAGAAAAAAAAACTCTTCAAGAATATGTGAAAAGAAGTAAAATAAAATAGGAAGATGTTTTTAATACCACCATTGTAGTTCAATCTAAATGGTTGGCTAATAGGATATCAAATCAAATAAATTGTGATAACTCGAGCTAAGATATAATTAATTAGATAAACATATTCTATCACTTTAAAATCTCACTCAAAACTTCTCAAAATTAACAATTTATTGATTTATATAATGTATAAATTATTTTTTAATTTTAAAATATAATGATCAAAATACAGTGCGTGTTGCAATACATGTAGTTATACACTACTTTTCCCCAATTTTTCATGCTTTCTTTTCTTTTTTGAATAAAGGCATTATTTATCCAAAAACAAAACAAAACAAAACAGAAACTGAAAACAGAACAGAACAGAACCAAGACAAGATGGGGCGGGGTAGGGAAAGTTGAAACTTGAACTGTTGAATTACAAGTGACTTTCTATGATTGTGACAACTTATCCCAAGGAATATAATAAAGAAAAAATTATGTATTCCAATCTTCTAATGTCACTGAATTTTCCTTTATCCAACAGATTAAAGTTGTGTTTTCCCCCTCCCCTATAACCAAGCAAGCCCTTAGCTTTGTTTCACTGTGTTCATAGATTCTCTTGGAAACCTGCTTATGCCAGAGAGAAAGAAAGAAAGAGAGCAAATACAAATCTTATCGTGTATTAACTTTAAGAATCATGTGACCATTTTCATATGAGGTTTAGCTGTTCTTGTTTCGTTTTGTTCAGAAACATGTTTGGGGTTTTGTCTGGAACATGTTTGTTGTTTCTGAGATGCAAATCTTGATTATTGACTGAGATTATGTTTAATGTGAGAGCTTAGTTGGAAGGTTCCGAAGGATGGCAATGGCATCTGAGTTAGTTATTAATGGATTAGATTCCCCAAAAGAAATTATTGAAGAGCCAGCAGATACATTGGTAAAGGGAGATCCCACTGTTTTTGAAAGTAGATCCTATAACAACATTAATAAAAACACATGAAACATTGGATCCTGACATTATAGGGATTCCAACTGATGTTTTTTAAATATGGAGACTTGTTTATTTCCAAACAACTTCCAAAGAAATTACAGTAAATATGATCTGTCCTCTGTCAGAAAAGAAGAAAAGAGAGAGAGAGAGACTTCTTTATTTGTTTGATTGTTGCAATGTACCAACTTTAATAGAACCACCACACATTACTGTTTTTTATTCTCACTTGAACTTGACACGATTTAATAGATTTTGACTCTGATAAATCACGTGACCTAACTAGATATCAAATCAAATGATTACGACTTCTCAAAATATACAAGACTCTTGAGATTATGTGTTCAAAGATATTCTCTAGAAACTTGAACTACAGAAGAATTCTCTGAAAATCTTAATAGATAGAAATCAACCTTACCAAAAAGATTAAGAACAAGTACAACATATATGATAAGAAAATTTTTGCTTCATAACTTTTATTTTCTCATTCAAACTCTCTCTCAATATATTTTAAAACTTGCATATAAAAATTATCAATATAAGTATCAAAATAATAGATAAAATTAAAATTTATAATCAATTTGGAAACAAATTTTTTTAAATACCAACTTAAGAAAAAATACATACTTCAAATACCAAACATAGTCAAAATCTATTTTCTTTTCTATTTTTTTCACTCCCTTAGTTCATCCTTCCATTTTTTTATCCAACCAAACATATATATCCTTAAACTCCATTTGTTTAATAATTATGGTTCAATCCATTGTTTTTTTTCCACAGTAAGTGTATAAAACTCTATTATATCACAATTGGTTTTTGTTATCCATTTCAAAATTTTGGTGGAAAGTGATGAGTTGGGATCTTGTTCCCATGTGTTGCCACCGAAAATTAGAAGCCAAAACCCTGTCATCTTCAACCATATTTAGTCTATCCATATTTTCCACAAAGTCTACAACTACTCCCCCAACATTGGTTTCCCGTATCTACAAGAATTCGAGCTGACTTTCCAAGCTTAATTAACTCACATTTATATCAGTTTTTAAGTGCAAAAGTCCGAGGCCAAAGTTGCGAGGAAATTATTCATGGCTACCTCAGTAGAAAACGACACATTTTTTATTCTTAATACCACTTTCACTACTTAGTTTAACTTTAAAATGTGGAATTTCAATGCCATTTTCTGCCATTTAGCCAAATAAGTACTTGCAAGTTGGTGAACAAAGAAAGATATTTTTAAAGAAATGACATTTGAATCGCAACCAAAAAAAAAAAACCAAACAAAAATTAATTGTTTAGTTCTTGAAGATGAGATGTGTAATACTCCAAAACGATACGCTGATGACCCAGGAGGAAAATTATTTTATTCCTTGGAGTGGTAATTTTGGCGGATATTAAGCCTTAATAGCCGATCACGAGTGGCTTGTTTACTGCTTTTTTTTAATGATTTTTAGATGTTAAAACCTACCATAGCTGATTAATAGACCTCATCTCCAAGTTACTTCGCCATAAATGGCCCCAGCTTCACTTTTTAATTAGTGAAAAAAGTTGGCAGAGTTTTCAAACTACGTAAGCGGGTCTAGTGGGGGGAGGGGAGATTTGCTTGCTTCCAAAATCCAAAAGATTCCCTGCCATGGCCTAAGGTTCAAACCCCTATTTAGTTATGAAGCAAATTGAAAGAAATTATCAATTCTTTTTTTTTAATAGTTTTGTATAATTATATGGTAACATTTGTTCTATTAACAATATACACACTCTACGAATACAATTAATTGAACTCATATTCTTAAAGAATAACATTCTCTTTTATCATCAAATTTAGTACCGGTCAAATATAAGGGATTTTGAAAAAAGAGCGACTTATGATCACTAATCAGTCACATTTGGTTGGTGCAACCTAACAGGGTGTTCTCCAATTTTAAAATCCTTGGAAAAGACAAAAGACAACAGTATTCCTAAATCTGCAAACTGGGTGGCAGGGCTTTAAATAGCATAAAAGTCAAGTGGCAAATTAGTAATCAAGGCCCTTTATAAGTCCATCAGAGAACATGGTTCAGGATTCCCATACACAATGTACAAATTAAAAATGGTGGTTGGTCCTTCTTACCTAAAGACCTTGCTCCCCCTTCCACCCTTTTCATTGAAACCAAAGCCATCTTCTTCCTTAAGCTCCATGAAAATCAAAAGTCTAATCCACACCCTTGTCTATGCTCAGGTCTGTCGTCTAATTCGAGCATTTTCAAAAGCAAAGTCTACTTTCACTCAAATCTGTAAACAAAACAAGCCTCTAAGATACTTGATTTCCAACTCAAATACCACAAAACACAAGTACAAGCACAAGAAGCTCTTCTTTGGTTCATTTAGGCTGCACTATAATTGGTGTTCTTCCCATGTTACACCGGTTCCTGCTCCGGTACTAGAAGGGTGCACCGCAACCAGGGATTCAATGATTTCAGCTGAGCAATGTGAGGAGGATACTGTGGAGTCTGAGCTTTCAGGTTACCTTCAATGGCTAGAAGAAAAGAAGGCTAATGGGAATTCCACGGCTGAGGCGGATCTCAATGAGATTGATAAGCTAGCAGAAATGTTTATAGCCCATTGTCATGAAAAGTTTATGTTGGAGAAGCAAGAGTCTTACAGGAGATTCCAGGAAATGATGGCTAGAAGCATGTGAATGTTTTTTTTCCTTCTTAATTATTAGCTAATAAATCTTCTTTGTTCTCCTTAGCCTAAGCTTTTGCTGAATGCGACTTACATTGATGGGTAAGTGATTTAAATTACAGTTGCGGTTACATTGTATTTATCGTAATTGTGGTAATAGTGGATGTTATTACGGTCAATGCAGGTATCACTGTCGTACAATAACAATTTTGGACGATACCTTTACCACTATGTAAGCTGTTTAAATCTATGATGGGATTAGAGAAAGTGTCATTGAGAGATGGGAGGGTTTTTCTTTTCCTTTTTGTTCCTTTGATATCCTTGTAAAACTTTTCCTTTTTGTTCTTCCCTTGTATTGTGGTGATTTTGTTTCCACTTTCCGCTTCCAATGTTATATATAATTAGTGGGAGTAATTTCAAGATTGACAAGCCCTCTTTTGTTACGTACAAGGAAACAAATTCAGTAAAAAAAAATTGCAGATTTCTGTGATCTCTTTCTTTGAGACTTGACTGATGAATGTTCTATTCTGTAGCTATGGCCAAGTTACCGAGCCAAAAGATATATAATATCCACTTTCATTAATATATTAGGTTAATTTGGGATCAGAAACTTCATCATTTGTTAAAGTTATCGAGTTTTTACGCTTCTACCAATGTAATTAAGCCAACTTTTTCAACTCAACAGAAACAAATATATACTGGACAACTTGTGTAAGAACCATGAACATCTGAAATCAATGATTTTAACCGGATCCTAGTTCGGTCATATCGGTTCCCCAATTATTAGTTCACTGATTTTGACATGGTAAGTGTCACTAGTACATCGAAACTAGGTTTGCTCCGACTAATGTCTCTCCTGATGATTTCAAAGATCACTGGTACATCACTTTCTTTGCTTATAAACCATCATCATCTCGGAATTTGTGTTAATATTTTTGTTGATCGAAATAATTGAATTTTGATAATAGTAGTTGATTTATCTTTTCAGATTTAAGTAGAGAATCGTAGTAGATGATCCATAGTAAAATTATAAATGATGAATGTCATTTAATTATAGATATCTAAAGAATATCGGGTACTGCAGAGGCGAGGACGACCCTCCTAACCCAGTTTGCTTCATTCGCAAACGCCAGGATTCAAACCCCTGACCTTGTTTAAGGGACCTAGAGTCCCATCCTACTAGACCAATTGATTGTTGGTGGATTTCTATCTATTTAATCGTGTGTAGATTGATAAAGTAGTTAAAACTTGATTAACCGTAGATTATGTGGGACTGCTAACAATCACATAATAAGATTTATAATTGAAAAAAAATACAGCCTAACGTAAGGTGCGGAAGAAGTATAATAATCGTATTTATCTATAAGCTCAAGCTGCACCGTGTAAAGGAAGGTTTGGTTAAAAAAAAACTACTCCAATTCATAAAAAAGGAATGACGATCTTGATGAATCTCATATATGATCGAAGGCATATGTGTATGGTCATGGTCATGGTCATATATGATCAGAGCCAACCTTATATGATTAAGGACATGATTCTTAGGTGTCTTCTATTTGTACCAAATTCTTCTTAAGATTGCAAAGTTGAGATAGAAGCAAGGCATCAAATAGTGTTTTTTTTAACCTCTTTATGTGTGATTAATATAATTCATATTTATTCAAGTTTTAATCTAAAATATAGGTCTTAAATTTTATCAAAATCAATTCATACTTGTAAGTAATTAAATTCAAGTTCCTTTTCGGAATGCTCATATTATTATTTTGTTTTAAAATATTTTTTCTAGTTTTAATATATAATATTTTTATATACTTTTCATTATATTTATTATTTTCTTGGTCTTATAATTTAACATATTTTTTAATAATTATATTATAAATTTAATTTTTAAGTTGTATATATATATATATATATGATATACTATAAATCATAACAAATTTAATATTCAAGTTTTAACGAATTTATATTATAATTTAACAAAATTCAAGATTTATATTTTAGTATTAAAATCCTTTTTTTTTTACTTTTTTTGCTTGTGTCATTGTTAGTCTTTTTGCTTTAGTAGTTGTCGTAACCGTCCTTTAGGCGGGCCCATAATTGGATTTCGAGTTAAATAAAATATGCTAGAGCCGCCACCGATCATTTATTTTTTTAAATATTAGGTTGACCGGACACCTTAATTTATTATCTTACATGATATGCGTTTTACCATTAATATGTCGGGTTCGGGAGTCAGTTATAGTCAAGGAATGATTAGCACCCTTGTATTGTCCTTTCAGTACCAATTTAATTTTTCGGTTGTCTTAATTGCGAAAATTAAAAGTTAAATTAAAATTTAAAAGTTTGATCTGAATTACTTACTATTGAAGGATTTGAAATTGACCTAAAAATATAAATCAAATCAGTTTTAATTATTAAAATAAAAGAAAATTAAATTAAGAAAATATAAAGTAAAAGAAAATTTTAAATTAAAATGGTTTAAATGCAACAAATTTAAAATTAAGGACCAAATTGACAATATTTGGATGCTACAAGAAGAAATAAAAAGTCAGGAGGGGTCAATTTGCAAAATATAAGAAAATTGAACCATGATTAAATTGAATAAATTATAAATTCATGGGTAAATTTACAACAGGTGACCAAAACGAATTACGTATCAAAAGTTCAGGGACTGTGGAAATAATTAAACTATTTGCTAATTACCCTTCAGTCCCCCTATAAATAGCCCAAAAATCCTAAAAATACCATTATATTTCATTTCACCCAAAAACCAATCCCCTTCTATCTCAAAACTCTCTCAACCCAAGCCCTACAGGCCAATGGTTCGTCCACTTCCGATGAAACCCCTCCGTACCGGCGACCGAAAAAAATCAAATCAACCCAAAATAATACCTTCGATCCCGTGAACCCAAAACTAAAACCCAAATGTTCAAATAACGCCTTCTCCGTCGTAGATATGAGAAAATAAATTCGATATTTACCTTTTTCTAACTAGATCTGACGATTTCCAGCGTGTTTTGGTTTCCTCACGACCGTGTTCCTTGTTTGACCGGTTACTGGCGTGTGGCCTCCACACGAGCTATTTACTTCTTCGCGCGGTGCCTTTTCTTTGATACAAACCCTAACCTATTTGGGCTGGGTCAGGCCCCCTAACCGGGCCTACTTTGTTGGGTCAAGCTGGCATGGCTCGGTTGGGCTTCATTGGACCCGAATGCACTATTGGACCTGAAAAAAATGAAATAAATAAATAAAATTAATAAAAATAGAATAAAAATAAATAATATTAATATATAATAAAAACTAAAAACATGTCTTCAAAAATTATATATTATATAGGTTTCCAAAAAAATCATTTTTTAAAACTATATATTTAATATGATTTCAAAAATTATTTTCGAAACTATATAATATATATGTTTTCAAAAATTGTTTTTTAAAACTATATAATATAAGTTTTCAAAAAAAATGTTTTTCGCAGCTATATAATATATGTTTTCAAAAAAATTGTTTTTCGAAACTATATAATATATGTTTTCAAAAAATGTGTTTTCTAAAATACTATATATTATACGTTTTCAAAAATATATTTTTTAAAAACTATATATTATATGTTTTCCAAATTTTGTTTTGAAAACCATATATTATACGTTTTCAAAAATACATTTTTAAAAACATATTCTATATACTTTCAAAAAACTATATTTGAAATTATTTTATATATATTATATACTATATAAAAAAAACCCTTAATGTCCCGGACAAAAATGGGTGTCTACAGTATCTTTATGATGACAATGGCATCAACTTTAATGTTGGTCAATGACTGTCGGTATTGATTATTTTCCCTTTTTTTTATTATATTGTATCTTTACTTTTTTTCTTATTTTTTAATTTTTAATACTCTGACTTTATGACACGCTTTTCTCTGTCTTTTGGAAGGTTTTTCAATCATTCGGTCTTTGTTTTTAATAAAGGCATCAACTTTATGACGTTTATTTGTTATCATGTTGATCTTCCCTGCTTTGAAGTCTCAAATTGGATTTGGATACATGATTTACGTTTGTGAATAGTTTTCTCGTGTCGCTCAACTCTGATTTGTAGTTTGTCTATGGTCTTTCAATAGTTTGATCATCTTTTGTGTTTTTTTACTGATGCAATTAGATTTGTTCGTATTTACCTTTTGTTCGAATTTTTTTGGTTAGGTTTTTTAATATTTTCCTTGTATGGTTCTTTTTTTTATATCTTAAGTGTCGAGTTTCTTGTTGTGTTAATCATTATGGAAAATGTTCTTATTATGTGTTTAGTTTACAGTTGTGATTGTATACCTTTATTATAATTTGGATATTTTTTCATTTTCAATAAAATTAAATACTTTTATAAAAAAAATTAACACTATAAAAGAAACAAATTGAATTGAAAAATTATAACAAATTTTATAATATTTAATTTTAATTAAGTATCAATAAATTAAATAATCAACACGAACTCCAGTGACCCTGATGGTAAAAGAATTGTTATTATTCTTTCAGGTCTCGGGTTCGAGCATTAGGAATGTTAGGGGTACGAGCGTTCAATATGAAAGGGTTGAGAGTTATCTTTGAGCAAATACCTTGTACTCATCTTAAATTAATCAAAAAATAAAATAAATAATTATAATTATTAAGAAGTAAAAATATTCAATATATTCAAAGAAAATGAGTTTGTAGGGCATTCAAAAAGTCCGTCGATGGTCCGGATGCCAAATTTTTTAGTGGACAAAAATAGCAAAACTTGATCTCCATCAACCCATCAAGAATTTCTATATTTATAAGCGTAAAGGCCCAGCGTTTGAAGGCCCATTCCTACCAAAATTCAATGACCCATTTCTATTGAAATTAAGGCTTTGCCAAAAATAGCTAACCACCAACTAACCCTAGGAGAAATCAATGCACTTTAATTTTACAAGCCAACCCTTTTGCCATTTTTAGCTAAAAAACACACTTCTCTATTAATTTCATTTGATTTTGATTTTCAATTCCTTCAAGCAAGTTGGGATTTTTGTTTTGAACCCAAGAAAACAAGGGTAGATTGCAGATTCTCAAAGGTGGGATAGGAATATAATTGCATCTTCCCTTATTCAATACTTGTCCGGGATGGATTGAGGGATGGGTGGGATAATCCCCCTCTAAAATTTTATATTTTTATATATTTTAAATTTTTTAATGCATTTTTAATTAATAATATGTTTTTCCTCTAAAAAATTTTAAGTTCAATTCTTTTTAAAATTTATAAGTTCATCTTCAATCATAAAATTATGCGTCTATTAGAAAGTGTTGACTTCTCAACACTAATCAAGTTGATTGTATATATATATATATATATATGTTAGGATCTATTTACACAATGTAAAACTACAGAGTTTTACACGTATTTGAGACCATTGGATGAGTAAAAATAGAAAGCTAAGATTGACTCTTTTTTCAGTGAATATATTTTCATTTCATACTGTTAATCTCATTCATC